CGCCCATTTTTAGTTCCACAGGCAAGAAATAACAGGGCCTGAGAAGGCCAAGTGCTGGGGAACTGGCCAGACCCTTCAGCCCATGGCTCCCTAGCAGGAGTGGCCCTTTCCAGGATTTGGTCCCCACCCACCCAGTAGGGAGCATGGTGAGGGGGAAGCTCAGAATCCTAGCCCTCCTCACCCCTCCCCACCCCCAGTGACTAAATCTCTCAGATCTGTCCATCCCCGCTGGGATTCAGAGTCCCCCCAGCCCCCAAGAAAGTGGAGGGACAGACTCTCAGCCAAGGAGGGGGGCCTGGTGGTCCAAAGGAGAGACTGGCTCTTTTCCTTTTGTTTGCTCACAGGAGGGGACAAATGCCCTGTGTGCACAGAGGTTTGATGTGACAACTTGATAGACCACATAAGGGTTTCAGCAAAGGCCTCCCGACCCTGCTCTCCATGCATTAAGATAATGATGGGGTGTGTGCCCCAGCACATTTCAGATCTTGGCTACAAAGGCCCTCCTTCCTTCTGTTTTCTTCCTCCAGCTCAGCTTGCCCACAGGTTCCCAGAGACTCTTGGCAGCTTTCTCTCAGGCAGAATGAAGTTGTGAGCTGCGTGGGAGGCAGTTAGACAGTGAGAGTGTTGCAGCCTCCTTAATGAGGGACAATAGCTCTTCTTGGAGCCATTAAGCCGCAGCTATGGAGATGGGGAACCCCAATTAGAAAGGAGTGGGAGAAGTAAAGAGGAGGGTCTGAGAGATGCCTGCAGGACAGATCTGTATCTTTGGTGGCTCTGTGGGACGCATGGGTGGAGATCTAGCTGACTGAGTTTAGAACCTGCTTTCCTTCTTCAGGTAAGACGTTCCAGTGACTGTAGAGCCAACGCATTGTGGCGACCCTTCAAAATAGACAAGCTGAAAGGAGGAGGGAAAATTACCAGAGAGAAGGGCTTTTCTTTAAGTTTGGGGCTCAGATATTATGGGAATAAGAAAGGAATGGTATTTATTTAATGGACATCCTCCGTAAGTTTTCCTGCGTTATGTATGTGTGCATCTGGGTATTTGTATTACAGCCCATAGCTCTCTTTTGTTCTGGCTTTCAACTGAATCACATTATGTTTACAGCAAGATAATAATCCTGGATTTTCCATGGCACTCTCTGTCAGAGTATAAGATTAGCTCTTGAATTCATTAACAGCCATCTCCTTTTAAATGTCAGATAACTTTTTAAATGCCAAGTACTTACGCAACACCTTCTGTGCAATTCAAATCAGCTTTACCAAATTAACTCATTCATTAATCTTTATTGTTTCATTTACTGAAGAGAAAGGCATCCAGGTGTTTTTAGCAGAACATGAAAATATTAGTTACAATACGGTATAGGTGGGTTTTGATTTTCTGCTAAACATTTCACCCTTCCACCAGTTTTGTAATCATTCCCACTGAAGCCTGCACAAAAAAAGACACAAAAAAGCTTCAGGTATCTCTGCTTTCTACCACTTCCCCCATTTTCCTTCCCTTCTGTCTATCCTTGCGCTTTCTTCCCCCTTCTGCATCTTCAGATACCTTGACTCCTGTTTACTATTTATTCTGCTGTCTTCACTCTCGAAATAGCCCAAGAGTTGCAAGGGTCAATTATGATGGCTCTTCCACCCAGAAAACAGAAGGGTGCCTCTAGGGAGCCCAGAGGGCCGGTCAGAACAGGCTTAGCAATCAGGAATTCCACTTTCCTTTTCAGAGGACCCCTGCCTGGTTTTACCTCTGAATAATCAGATACAGGCTACTCTGACGGCTAAAGATAGAGCCTTCCATGGTTGACTCCTTCTTGTCACCCAGCTCTCTGCTCCAGTCATCTCAGAAAGGTCTTTCCTCGCCACCCAAAGACAAGTCCCACCCCTTCCCCTCAACCTCCATCCTATCCCATTTCATTGTCTTCATAGACTTATCACTATCTAAAATCATTCTTCTGTACATGTTTGTTTGTCTGACACATATCACCGAGTAAATATCAGCTTAATGAATAAATGCAAACCCATCCCAACACATGGCTTTCTTGCCTGGCTTTAACTTTCTTGACTCTTTCCTCCTCTTCTTACCACCTCCCAGAATCCTCTTCATATATTTAATCTTTTCTTTCCTCCCATCTCCCACACCCCCTTCCATTATCATTTATTTGTTAGAACACTTGAAGGTAATAAGCAAAAACAGTTCTTCGCATTCCAGTGACAATAGAGCCTTCATGAAGACATTCCATCAAGCTAGAATTCATGGCCCCAGAAGTTAAGGAGATGAGCCATACAGTCAAAAGAATTGTTTTATCAAAAGATTTACAGGCCGGGGACACCTGGATGGCTCAGTTGGTTAAGTGTCTGACTCTTGATCTCAGGCCGGGTCTGATCTCAGGGTCGTGAGTTCAAGCCCCATGTTGGGTTCCACGCTGGGCGTGGAGCCTACTTAAGAAAAACCAAAAAAAAGATGTATAGGTCAGTGATTTGGAGAGACTTTTCTCAAAGCCTCTCAACTCCCTACTCTTCAGTCTGAGCCCCACATGAGGAGTTAAAGTAATTCTAGCCATTGGACCTGGCTATGACTATGCTTTTGTCTCCTGGGCTAACACAAAATCTGCTCTTGAAGATAATGGAGAAATTTCCCTCAAACCAGTATTGTCTGATTTCTATTATTGCACCCAGTGATTCATGCATGATTTTGGAAGCCAGAAAGTTTCAAAATTTTTGTCTGATTCTAGCTTAGACCAAATGTTTTCATTTGATCTAGAAACAGGAAGGGGCTGTCTCACTCCAAGGAGCTAATCAGATATACGACTGAGATGACAAAAAATTGGATATGTATTTGTCCAGAAAAGTCTTTAGCCACATTTCAAAACAAAGGAAATGGGTGGAGGTGTTCATCAAAATGATGGCTGTTTGTGGGAACCCACCTGTTAATTCATCATTAATACTTTAATATAAATGTTATAGGAGTGGGAGTTTATAATGGCCCAGAGAGACAGACATCTGAGATTTAGTCTCCTAGAAAATATGGAAATGATCAAATCCACACCCACAGTGATCTCATGGCATACTAGTGACCCCAGCAAATCAGCCCTGAAAAATAACAAATTTCCTCCTTGGAAATGAGGAGCCAATGCTAGGCAGAGGACAGGTCTCTGGAGGTCTGCACATAATTCCTGTGGAGAAGTCTTCACTGGCCTTCCCCATTGTAACTGAATTGGGCCATAACACATAGCTTGCCCCATTGTTACTGATTGTTACTCTTTTGTTCAGCAAATACCTACCAAGTGTATATTTGTTTCCAGACCCTGTGCCAGGCACTGCTGTTACCTGGGAACAGCACAGTCATGGTTCCTGCCCTCATGGGGCTTATAGTCTAGTGGGGAGGTGAGTTGGCTGCACAGCATGAGCATCCTTGTGGGCAATGGGGGAAGTGCTCAGTGCTGCGGGATGTCATGAAAGGCCCAGATGAGCCAGACCTGAAGAACGAGGAGGAATTAGAAGGGAGGCATGTGTTCTCAGGAACGGGAAGGACATTGCTCCGGGAACTGACAGGTCAGTGTTGGTGGTAGCTCTTTGCACTTGCTATTCCCACAGTGAGGTAAACAGTTCCTGCAGAGAGTCCCACAGCACCTGCCCTGGCCTTTTTCAGAGCTTTGCTCAAACATCACTTTTTTTTTTTTAAAGATTTTATTTTATTTATTTGAGAGAGAGAAAGAACGGAAGTAGGCAAAGGGGCAGACAGAGGCAGAGGGAGAAGCAGGCTCCCAGCCGAGCAGAGAGCTGGATGCGGGGCTCAATCCCAGGACCCCAGAATCACGACCCGAGCCAAAGGCAGATGTTTAACTGACTGAGCCACCCAGTCACCCCTCAAACATCACTTTCTTATGGGGCCTTCCCCCAAGTACCCTGCTTAAAATTGCAGCCTCGACTGCCATCCCCAGCTACTCCTTACTCCCCTCTCTGCTTTATTTTTCTTCATATCACAAATCACTGGCAGACATAACTTATGTTTACTTGTTTGTTATCTCTTCCCTCCCAATGGAATGTGTCTGCCATTTTCACAAGGGTGGAGACTTCTGTCTGCCTCTTGCACTGTCATATCTGCTCTACTGGGCATAGAAAAGTCACTCAATAAGTATTTGCTGAAGGACAGAATGAGGCAGGAGAGATCGTCCAGGGCCAGGCAAGAAGGGTCTTTTAAGTGGGTTGGCCTTCATGCTGAGGGCCAGGGCCTTTTAATGTTTTCAGCAGAGAAGACTGGTGTGGTCCACTTTGCATCTTGGAAAGATCACCCAGCTTGCAGTATGGAGCATGGGCTGGAAACAACTTCAGATCAAACTTTGTTGTGCTCTGAATCATGACATCATTGGCTTGTTGTAGTAACAGGAGAGAGTGTGGCCCAAGAGATTGAAGAGGCCCCAGGGTCTCCCATTCTTCCTTCCCTCTTGCTAGATTCGCTCAAATCACTCCTCCTAACACATCAAATACATTTTAAGCTTGCAAATAAACTGGAATCTTGCTATAACTTTATCTACAAGGTAGATTTGATAACCGTTTGTGGAAGCCATACAAGTATTGAAAAGATCTCATTAAAAAAACGAGTCTGGGGCAGATGGTGATTTCAGCTCTGCCATTTACCAGCTGTTATGGCTTTAGGCAAGTTACGTTAAGTAACTCCCAGAACCTCTGGTTCCTCATCTGTGAAATGGGAATAACAAGAACAGGGTTGTTGTGAGGATTAAATAAAATGATTACAATCGTGGGACACAGGAAGGTCCTTTTTTCCCCTTTGCCATTATACTGACCCCAGGTATGAATTAATAACCAGACTTGGATTATCCTCTATACATCTGGGTCCCCTGTGTCTTCGATGGTAAAAATAGGTGTTATGACTAGTGTTCCAACGATGAAAAATTACTTTCTATAAATATTTGGGGATTTAGACTAGCTCTTGTCGCACTGTATATCATTCCTATGAAAGTTGGGCTTTCTGCTTCTCTTCACAGGGAGCCCAGCAGTCCTTGGAGGCAGCAGCTCAGAAGACAGGAGAGCCTCAAAGTTGTATAAATAAAGGGCTGATATGTTCAAACAGAAAAGAATTTTACACGCGCAAGCTGCACATCGACATGACGCCGTTCCTGAAGGTGATCTCACACTGAGAAGGCGAGGGGTTTTATAGACACATACACAGGCATTCCAGTTAATACATTTCTGCATGGTGCAAAAACAGCTTCAGAAGTCCCTCAGAGTTCCTGCTTTATCAGAAGGGACAGAAAATAGGCAGTTTGTAGCAGATGAAGGAAGAACAAATTAGGACAGTAATCACAGCCAGCCATCGGGGACAAATCAGTTGGGTGTCTGGTTTGGGTGGTGGGGGACAGAGAAAAGAGAGTAGAAAGGATAACCTTGAACTACCTCATAAAACAAGCAAATATAATTCATTTTATCTTGACAGTAGCTAAAATAATTGTTACTCTTTTATCACCGTAACTGAGTAGAGCTGGTATTTTGATTAGTGGAGAAGACTGATTCTTGGTAACTATTTACAAGTCAACTGCATATCCTCTTTGGATGTCTGACCTTATTTTCTGTCCTCTAAGAGTTCATTATTCTCCTAAGCTCAGCTTCATATCTAGTTAAGGGTACTCAGCGTTCCTATGGTGGGGATATCATTTGTCCACCTTTGCAGTAGTCTCTTCTGCCCCAACATCTAACACAGTGCCTGGCACTGGAAGGTGCTCACTGAAGGCCCCATAAATTGGCCCCCTTCTAATCCAACAGCCCTCTGGCTTAGGATCCTCTTCTTACCCATTCGTTGCCACCCCAAGAGCTGAATGAACTGGGAATAAATGATCAGGGAGTAAAAGAAACTAATCAGGAACCAAGCCAGGCTTGGCATGGAAGGATCTCTGATCCTTTGTACAACCCTAGAGAGCAACATCCCAGGCCCTTGATAAGAAATGACTAGGAGGGGGCGCCTGGGTGGCTCAGTTGGTTAAGCGACTGCCTTCGGCTCGGGTCATAATCCCGGAATGCTGAGATCGAGTCCCACATCAGGCTCCCAGCTCAGCGGGGAGCCTGCTTCTCCCTCTGACCCTCTCCCCTCTCATGCTGTTTCTCTCTCTCTCTCAAATAAATAAATAAATAAAATCTTTTAAAAAAAAGAAAAAGAAATGACTAGGAGGGACACCTGGGTGGCTCAGTCAGGTTAAGCACGTGCCTT